CGCGAGCGTTCGTGTAATAATAATAAGAAGAGAGCAACTCTATGAGGAACCAACGGCCTCCGACCCGTTCACCCTATGCTAGGTGGAGCCGGTCTGATACTGTACCCTCAGTGGTTCTCAATTCACGGCGCCGAGGATGTCGACATTACTATCGTATGAAAGTTTTCGAATTATACACGAAATAAAGATACGATATAATTATTTATATTTGTATTGCAATTTTTTTAGATACTGATCCTTTGTGTTTTGTGAACATGATTATATAAAATTTTAGTTAAAATTTGTATTTGTTAAAATAAATAAAATTATGATATTTGAAGATCAATATTTACAAAATACAAACTTTTAAAGATGCATTTTGAATATTAAATATTTTTTATTTTTTATTAATTTATTAAAATTATAAATTTATTAATTTTACATATAAAAAAAATAAAATTTGTAATTGTATATTTATATTGTATTGTAGAAAGCTGTATAATTATTTAATAATTATTAATATGCATCATTAAATTGAAACTAATTTAATTATTAATTTGCAAATATTTGTAATAATATAACATTTTATATTTCATGAATTTATTTGTAGCAATTTCGCAACAAAATTAATTGTACTGAGAAATTCATGTATCATTAAGATCATGTTACATTTCTTGAGTGGTAATTGTATTCGGGTGAATCATTGAATTGCTTGTTTGCCGCTAATTGAGTGTCACTGCGGGTGTGACCGTGAACGAAGAGGCAGGAAAGCAAGACAACGTTGTGGAGCAGTATCTCTATCCTCGCCCTCTACCTCCTCCCTATGCCACGTTGTGTTTCCCCATGCCTACCCCACCCATAGTTCTCACTGTAAGCGAAGTGGACACTAGGTAAAACGATGGTGGGGCGAACGTGATGCAGAGGGGAAGTTCGTGGTACCATAGACAGTGGGTATGCCGATGAGAAAAGAAAAGGGAAGGGGCAAATGCGGTGAGGTTAGGTTAGTTTAGGTTAGACGTGCCTCCGAAGAAGAGCGGAACTGGTCTGAAGAGAGAGAAAGATAGAGGGAAAGGGAGGTCACTCGAGAGATCGCCGAGAGATGACACCACCGCGCCCACACGATCCAATATAGTGGCAACTGCATTCGTGCAGGTGTAACGTACCGCACACCAGCACCCTCTGCCCTCCATTACCTTTCTCTCAATCTTCATGAGCACCCACTTTACCCCACCCTTCTCGTTTTCTTTCGTCTTCTCGTTCCTTCTCTATCTCTTTCTGTTTCTATTTCAAGTTATATCCCCTGCTTTGGTTACAAGTCCTTCAATGATCCTGTGTCCTCGTATTTGTTCTTGAAGCATAAACCGGAGTACGAATACAATTGCAATTACGATTACGATTACACGGGATTGACCTGTCGCCACTAGTATGCGCATGCCGGCAACGTCGCAAATCCACGCTTCCCCCTTCCCTCCTGTACTTGCTGCTACTCCTCCACTCCCGTGGTTCCGTCTAACTCTCTTCCTCGCGTCCATTCGTTTACTTGATCTGTCTTTGTTACGCGATACATGCGCTAGTCGGCGTCGCTGTGCGCAATACTGTCGCGCCATTGCAAACGCGCGGCAGTGCACTGTCGTCGCCACCTTCGTTTGCGATATGAGGTCACGCATTAACATGAAAAGCAGATTAAAGCTTGTTTTCTTTAAATGCGGTTTACGAACGCATCGAATGTATTCATGTTTGCTTTATAAATCTTTACGAGTAAATTTTATCGTTCGTATTCAAAATAAATTTGGTCGTTTTTCGTATATTGTTATAATAATACTACATCATATTAGAAGATTCAATATCTTGATTTTGGAATTTTTATGTCTATTTGTTATGTAAATATTTGGAAATAGTTTTAATGTGTTTATTTCTCTCTGTAAAATGAAGCTCTTCAGTAGTGTGAATTATCAGAGTTTACACGTGTAACATTAATTACCACCTACAAGTGATGTTGAGTGAACAACTGAATCTTGTCAAACAAGGGATGAATTTGACTTAAGATTCTCTTGTTGGAAATATTTGAAAACAAGATTATTAAATTAATCATCATCACTTTTCAAATCTTAATGTTTACTTGATGTTTATGAATATTATATGATCATTCATAACTTAAAATATATTATATATAACTTAAAATTTATTATTCTATTGTTATTATTATTTATAATATTTTCATTTCATGATTTCTTTGCAAATAATTTTACTATATTTTTTTCTTATAAATTTATTCATCGTGAATTTGTAAAAATTTAATTTAATATAAAAAATTTCTTAGTTTATTCATATTTTCATCAAATAATATTTCATTAATTCGTTGTAAAATACTATATTTTTAGATTTTCTATCCTAATCGCAATCGGTCATTGAATATAATTACAATTTTAGAATCTCATTGCCGGTATCTTTATTTCGTATCTTGTATCTTTCAACTCAAACACGAATAGTCTATGCATAAATAACTTACAAGAAGAAATGCATGCATAAAAATTTACTTGTTTAAAACAAGTTTATAGTCAAGATAATAAGATATTATACCACATACATAATGAAAATAAAATTTTAGCCATAATTTTTTAAAAATTATCAGTTTTCTAAGAAACTAACTGGTATTTTTTCATATTTTTTCATACAGTTAATGTTACAAATTTTCATTAATAAGTGAATAAATAAGTAAAAATAAATGCTCCTTATAATAGGATATGATTAATTTTAGAATCATTACTTAAGCTTTACAAATCAATTTCTGGATTCTGGATTCTGATTACTTATCATATTTTTTTTTATAATTCTAATCGAGTGAAAAAAGTGTAAAAAAGTAATTAATGACAAAGGAACAAACAAGAAAATAATGAAGATCGTTCGTGTATATTTTTCCTTTTTATCCCATGTCACATTTAATTGACATACCTTTAATTGAGAATCGACAGATATAAACAAAAATAAAACCGTAGCCGGTCCATCTCTATTTAGTGGTCACGTTGAGATGCCATGTCCAGAGAACGTTCTCATGGTGAATTTCCAATATCAAGCCCAGAGACCGATCCACCGAGCCCGGCATGCACTACAGTTCGATTCACAGGATCCAGCTCGCGGCTTAATATCACTGCTTGTTGGATGTTAGCATAAGCAAACATAGGGGGCTCGAATAGTAACCCCGTGTGGATAAATTGTCGGCCTATCGAAAAGTAGAAGAATGAAAAGGGCGAAAGCTGCTCGAGCAATGACTGCCTTTAACAAAAGAACCCCTTTTCAATAGCTTTTTATCTTGCAATAAGTACTTTCAAAAGAATAAATTTTCTGAATTTTACTTGTCTTTTATTTTTCTTCTTTGTTTTTATTATTATATATTACAATTTTTTATCAATATCGATATGATTCAATTTAATAAAAAATTTAAGTTGAATTACTTATTTTATTCAAATTAATTTCTAACTTAATATATTACATCTATTATTCAAACTCAAATATTAAAAAAAGATTTTAAATGAAATTTTTTTTTAATCCTAATAAAATAATATATACTAATAATATTTTTATATATTATCGATCAAATTCTAAGAGAATTTTTGCAAATTTCATTAAAATGTTTATAAAATCTATTCTAATAGAAATAAAAAATATTAGAGGTTAGAAATCACTCGTTGAAAAGAATATGAATGATGAGGAATATAAGATTTGTTTGAATAAATGTCTTTAAACGCGAAGTGGCATAAAATAACAAATGTGCATTTCAATTCTATGCAAATAACATCGTATCGTATTAATCACTTGACAACTTGTTAACGTTCCACTTTATCAAAAATACTCAAACAATATTCATTCATCAGTTTACATTTTACGCTCAGATTTCATTCTCCAGAAGTGAAATCAGATACTTACTTTTCCTTCATCTCAAAGAAATCTTCCCGAGAAGAAACTCATTCCCAACATCCAAATTTTTTCCAACGTCTAAATAATTTCCAGATGTCAGATCGAAATACTCGTAGTCGTCAATTCCTTGACAATCGTCCCATCGTGTATATCTGATCGTAAGATGATCGACGAATCGGCCGTTTCCCTTTTCGACGATCAATCTTTGCAGATGTAATTTCGATCATTGGCGAACATGTACCGAGGAAACACTCAACACGAACGAAGCTGCGGGTGTATTGTGCCGGGTGAAATTAAACCGGATTTCACGGGGGATTAAATGGTATTTCACGAGGCACGGGGATACGCGCGGTCGAGGACCACCACCCCTCTCCCCTCCCCTCCCCT